TTTTTTTTTTTTTTTTTTTTTTTTTTGAGATGGTGTGTCACTCTGTCGCCCAGGCTGGAGTGCAATGGCATGATCTCAGCTCACTGAAACCTTTGCCTCCCAGGTTCAAGCGATTCTCCTGTCTCAGACCCCGAGTAGCTGGGATTATAGGTGCGTGCCACCAGGCTCAGCTAATTCTTTGTGTCTGTAGTAGAGACAGGGTTTCACCATGTTGGCCGGACTGGTCTCGAACTCCTGATCTCGCCTGGCCTTATTTTTGCATTCCTATAAAATGAAAACAATATAAAATACATCCTTGGATTGTAATGATGTTATCTTGAAGGTGTTGTGACATCATTAGAAAATATGTTGTCTCACAACCCAAAAAATTATATCTTAACTAAAAGTTACTCATCTTATTTTTGAGACAGGGTCCTCGCTCTGTCACCCAGGCTGGAGTGCAGTGGTGTGATCTCAACTCACTGCAACCTCTGCCTCCTGGGCTCAAGTGGTCACCCAATCTCAGCCTCCCAAGTAGCTGGGACCGACCACCCACAGGTGCAGGCCACCATGCCTGGCTAATTTTTGTACTTTTTTTTTTTTTTAATTTAACCATGAAATAGCTCTCAGGAGATCCTGAGAACATGTGCCCCTACTTTTTGTATTTTTTGAGATAGGATCTTGCTCTGTCACCCAGGCTGGAGTGTAGTGACACAATCATGGCTCACTGCAGCCTCTGCCTCCTGGGCTCAAGTGAGCCTCACACCTCAGCCTCCTGAGCAGCTGGGACTACAGGCATGAGCCACCATACCCAGCTCATTTTTTTCTTTTTTAAGATGTTTGTTTCACTATGTTGCCCAGGCTGGTCTTGAACTCCTGTGTTCAAGCGATCCTCCTGCCTCACCCTCCCAAAGTGCTGGGATTACAGGCATGAGCCACCTCACCTGGCTCTCCTCTTCTAATAATAGTTTTAATAGGCATTGTCATCCAACTCCAGCTGAAAAACTAGTTTCTTTCCTGTGAGTAGAGACCCGTGTTGTAATATAAGGAAAACATCAATGCATAAAGGGAAGGAAATCCATTTATAAAATTTGTCATTGTTACTTGAAAAATAATCAGCAGAGCAGCAACTGAGATCTTGTTAATATCAATGGTAGGCAGATTCTTGGCCAAGGAAGTTTAATAAATATTAACATTCAGAATTGCATTGTTCACAATATTTATTTGAGAACTCATAAGTTGACTGATAGCAAATCCCAGACATAAGCTTTCCAATTTTTGACACAGTATTAGATTTCTTGTGAAATTTCTGGTTTGAATTTAACCACTAACTTCTTGTGTTTCCTAAGCTTAAGGAAAGTGAAGAGATGAAAAAAATAACATTTTCTCCTAGCCATTGCTCGTCTGTCCTCCTTTTCTCTTCCAGATATTCCGAGTGGTGTGCATTTGTTTGGGTAATCCACCAGAGACATTCACCTGGGAGTATCGAGACAAAGATAAAAATTATCAGAAGATTGGCCCCATAACACCCTTGGAGTTTTACAGGGAACATGTCAAGCCACTCTTCAATATGGAAGATAAGGTTGGAGAATGACATTGGTAGTCACTGGCTGTTTACTTTCAACAACTGTTAACCACAGGGAGTGGTATAAGATTCTGGGTTAGCATGCATGATTATCAGACTAGACAATAAACAGTTTTCCCCACTTCTTCTGAAGTATTTTATGCACCTAATGAAGTTGGTGGTGCCAGGATTTATCATACTTTCCCCATTGTTCCTCTTCAGAGACTTTTTAAACTGTAAGACAGCAGTCGCTTTAATTCCCACATGTGCCCCTGTTTAGGACCAGAATCATTCTCAAGTGCAAAGACGATGGAGGTGTATTGAGTGTTTCTTACTATGGATTCAGAGCACTTCTGTACTGAGGTCCCCTCTGGGACCTCTTGTTGAAGGGACTAATCATAGTTTTTCCTCTTCCCTTTAGGTAGGTCTTCCTCATCTGCCTAGCAGGATGATTCCTTTTATTGGCTTCCTGGTCCTGTTTAAAGCAGATGCCTGTTTTGTAACTTGAGAGCAGGAGCCTTGTGATGAGCTCTCCAATTTTCCTTACTCAGTGCATGTAATTTTTCAGAATTAGTTCTGGGGGCCAGATGCGGTGGCTCACACCTGTAATCCCAGCACTTTGGGAGGCTGAAGCAGGCGGATCACCTGAGGTCGGGAGTTTGAGAACATCCTGGCCAACATGATGAAACCCTGTCTCTACTAAAAATACAAAAATTATTTGGGCATGGTGGCGTACGCCTGTAATCCCAGCTATTTGGGAGGCTGAGGCAGGAGAATCACTTGAACCCAGGAGGTGGAGGTTGTAGTGAGCCGAGATCATGCCATTGCACTCCAGCCTGGGTGACAGAGCGAGACTCTGTCTCAAAAAAAAAAAAAAAAAAAAAAAAAAAAAAAATTAGTTTTAGAGCAGTCCCTGCCTGCAGGAAAAACAGATGTACCTCCTGTACCTCCTAAGTTGTCTCTTACAAGAATTAGAATAATCAGGGGCCTCTTTCACATGTATTTTGCCACCTTTTGTTTCTTTGTTAAATAACAAAGAAATTGTTAAATAACAATGTGGCTGCAGTGCTTAGCTTATAGGCAGAGATGATGAGCTTGATGCAAACATGAACCTAGAGGAGAGCTACGTCTTGCTTGACATTCCTTGTTTTGTGCTCTAATCAATATGTTCTTGATCTCAACAGATTTGTTTAGTGAATGACCCTAGGCCCCAGCACAAGTACAACAAACTTTACACCGTGGAATACTTAAGCAATATGGTTGGAGGGAGAAAAACTCTGTACAACAACCAGCCCATTGACTTCCTGAAAAAGATGGTTGCTGCCTCCATCAAAGACGGAGAGGTTGGTATTGTTTTTGTATCTTTGAGGTTCAAACATCTTTTACTTCTTTGGTGTAATAGGAAGACAGGGTTTATGTTGACTTTCTTTCACCCTCTTTCTTCTATTTCTAGGCTGTGTGGTTTGGCTGTGATGTTGGAAAACACTTCAATGGCAAGCTGGGCCTCAGTGACATGAATGTGTGAGTGTAGGAAATTTAAAATAGAAAGTCACTTGTGGGTTGTTGCTGTTGGAGTGTGCTCTTGTTACAAAATGACTCTGCTGAGGTTCATCCGAAGATTAAGGTTGGCCTAAGGGCATGTCTCTTTCTTTGCATCCTATAGAGTTTGAGGATTCATAGCAGAAACTCCACATACTTAAATACTCTACCCCAGGACATCAAGATCACACTTTGTATCTGAGTGGAAATTGTTGGGTGTTCCTAAAAAGCCATCCTCTATGAGAAAGACACTTTTAAAAAAATAATTGAGTACTGTGTAAATGTGTTCAGTGCATTTGAGAATGTAATGAAAGATTTTCCAGAGCTCCTGTTTGCTGTCTTACTTTCGTAACTTTGTATTCTGTTTTGACAAGTGGGACTAATTTGCATGCATATTTTAAAGCATTCCTCCTGGTCATTTATGACAGTGAAGGTTCATTCCTGAGCTATATAGGATTCCTTGACTGTTAAAATTCACCATTTTGGGGTTACTTATAAGTAGTTGTTACTTGTAGGAAGTTGAATAAATATCTTGATAGAGAAATCTGCTAAAAGAGAATTAATGAGGTTTAAAAATTTTTGAAAACAGATCAAACTCTCAAGTGTGTCTCTCACACCAATTAGAACAAGCAAGGTCCTCTCTTACCTGTACTTTGCCTTTTGTTTGTTATTTAACAATGTGAGTGTAGTGCTTACGCAAAAATATCCCCAATATTTTGGGCATTATTTATTTAAATTTTAACCATCAATGATATAAAAGTATTCTTGCTTAAATGACAATGTAAACTTGTCAACTTCTGATGTAGAGAATATTTGTTTAATCATCTCCTTTTTTCCCTGCATACTCTTGTGACACATAGAGAATAGACTCCCACTGAGAGACTAAATTCTGCATGTTCCATATTCTTTCTGAAGAGCTACAGCTAGAGGCTTATTTATTTGGAGCTGTTGAGCCCCTTCAGTTTCTTCTGAATTCCTTTTACAACCAAAAGCCAGTTTTCCCTGTGATGGTCCTCCCTTTATTTTGTACTATCATTCTTTTTACAGCTATGACCATGAGTTAGTGTTTGGTGTCTCCTTGAAGAACATGAATAAAGCAGAGAGGCTGACTTTTGGTGAGTCACTTATGACCCACGCCATGACCTTCACTGCTGTCTCAGAGAAGGTATGACCCTCAGCATGCCTGCTGGAGTGTTTGCACAGATGGATCCACATTCTCCTGCAGACTGTTTACCCAACAGAGCTTCATTCATAGTGTATATGATTTCTGTTCCAGGAGGTGGAGGTTGCAGTGAGCTAAGATCATGCCACTGTACTCCAGCCTGGGTGATGGAGTGAGATTCTGTCTCAAAATGAATGAATGAATAAATAAATAAATAAGTAATATTAAAAAGGTTTTTAGCCGAGTCCTGTGGCTCACTCTTGCAATCCCAGCACTTTGGGAGGCCAAAGTGGGCAGATCACAGCCTGGCCAGCATGGTGAAACCCTGTCTCTACTGAAAATACAAAATTAGCCAGCCTTGGTGTTGTGTACTTGTAATTACAGCTACTCAGGAGGCTGAGTCAGGAGAATCACTTGAACCCGGGAAGCAGAGGCTGCAGTGAGCCAAGATTGTGCTACTGCACTCCAGCCTGGGTGACAGAGTGAAACTCTGTCTCAAAATAAAAATAAACAAACAAATTAAATAAATAAATATTTTTCAAATGAGGATGTTTTATAACTAAAGCTCTTTAAATAAAAATTTTTTAACTATATAGAGAGTTCTTTTTTTTTTTTTGAGACTAAGTCTTGCTCTGTTGCCCAGGTTGGAGTGCAGTGGCACAATCTCGACTGACTGCAACCTTCTTTTCTCAGGTTCAAGCTATTCTTCTGCCTGATTCTCCTAAGTAGCTAGTACTACAGGTGTGTGCCACCACACCAGGCTGATGATTTTTTTTTTTGTATTTTTAGTGGTGACAGGGTTTCACCATGTTGGCCAGGCTGGTCTCGAACTACTGACTTCAAGCAATTTACCTGCCTCAGCCCTCCCAAAATGCTGTGATTACAGGCATCAGCCACCATGCGTGGCCGAGAGTTCTTTTCTGAAAAAAGAAAAAGAAGACCTCTTGTAATTTGCAAGAGAAATTCAGCTTTTTATCATTTCTATCTCATAGAATATTTGTATTTTTCAGAAGTAAAAATAAATACTTCACTGTCATTTACTTGGGAACATTCATTCTTTGATTAGCATGGTTTATTTCCTTAGGAAAATGGAGCTACCTTACATGCTAATAGTATAAAGCAGAATTTATATTATTATAACTGGAATTTTATATTGAACATTTTTCTCTTCATTCCACTAGAGTTTTTGATCACTAAAACAAGTTTGAACTACGCTTGAGTAATAGTACAGAGATAAATGCATACTAGTGGTTATATTGTCACAATTTTCTTTCTTTTGTTGCTGATATCATGGAATCCCTATAAGGGAGTTCCAGGTATTATCATTTTGTAATTTTAGATGACCCAAAGAACAATTTGATCTAGGTCACTGCATTGGCCAAAATTCATTGGTGAAGGGGAAACATCGGAAACATTTTCAGACTTAGAGTAACAAGTAACTGTATCACTTTAGGTGACATCGACTCTAACAGTGATATTTAAAAGGAAATTAAAGTTGGACTACAGTGGGGAGAATAGACAACCAAAACAAACATATAATATGGCACCTGTTATATACTATATGTATACTATATAACAATATGGTTTTAAAGGATTTGGTGACAAAGAGGATTAGTACAGGTAAGGGTGTTTGCAACTTTTGAGTTTATTGTTTGTTGGCACTATTTGTGAGACAGAAAATTACTGAGATCCAAGAAAACTGCCAAGAGTGGAGTGTTTGGGTTAGCAGAGCCAAAGAGAACCAAATCCCATATAGTTGAGACTCATCATATAGTTATTTGCAAGTGGGAGTTGACAGATGAAATCATTAGACGATAATACAGGGGTCAGTGCTCTTCTCATGCTACAAATATTTAAGTTGCTTTGACATCAGTAAATGTCCTGGGTAAACATGAAAGAGAAAAGTCTTTTCCCAAATGGAGCCTTCCTCTTGTCCCTCTCTGTGTCACTGTAGTAAAGGCTGTAAATTAAGGTTGTCATGATAAGTATCACTGTCTCTTTAAGAAGATGAGGCCGGGCGCGGTGGCTCAAGCCTGTAATCCCAGCACTTTGGGAGGCCGAGGCGGGTGGATCATGAGATCAAGAGATCGAGACCATCCTGGTCAACATGGTGAAACCCCGTCTCTACTAAAAATACAAAACATTAGCTGGGCATGGTGGCGCGTGCCTGTAATCTCAGCTACTCAGGAGGTTGAGGTAGGAGAATTGCCTGAACCCAGGAGGGGGGGGTTGCGGTGAGCCGAGATCGCGCCATTGCACTCCAGCCTGGGTAACAAGAGTGAAACTCCGTCTCAAAAAAAAAAAAGAAGATGAAACGAGCTTATTTTAATAATGAAGATGGAAGAAGGAGAACAGTAGAACTGCCTGGCTTTTGTTTATGAAAATAGTCTTTTTACTTTTGCTTTGCCATTCAGTCTCTTCTATGAAATTCAGTATTTGTGTAACTGCATCAGTAAAAGAACACATTTGGAGAGTGTCAGTATTTGGTTTCCCCAAGTAGAAAATCGGGCAGTATGATGAGTTTATTTTGTTTTGTTTAAGAAAGACTCTGACAATGTTTTAGAATTATTCCTAAAATAAAGTAGGATGCATTTGCTTTAATCAGTATTAAAAGCAAGAATCCCCAGCTTCAAATGGTGTTTACTGCTTTTAGTGGCTTAATAGATTTTTCTTAGTCAAGTAGCACTTTTACATGCTTATTTTATGTATAGAATAGAAAGGATAAAATAGTATTTATTATTTTGTTAGTTTATTATGTTTTTGCCCCAAGAGATTCAAATTTCATTTCTGTTGGAGTATCCCTTTGGTGACAGTAGGAAATATGTGGCCCTGACCAAGTATGTCCTGCCTGTGTAGAGCAGGCTACAGAAGAGTTAAAATTATGTGACACCTCAGCAGGGAGAATCTGGCTTCAGACTGCTTACCATCATCTGCTTTTTTGTAGGATGATCAGGATGGTGCTTTCACAAAATGGAGAGTAGAGAATTCATGGGGTGAAGACCATGGCCACAAAGGTGAGCTCAGTTTGGTAATACTAACTCCAAGTGATTGGGTCTGCTGTACTCTGCCTCTCTGGGTGTCAGGCTGCTTTAGTATGGAGGATTTCTCAGTAATTGGCTCCACTGACTAGACTATGCTACAGAAAAATCTGAGGATCTGATTTGACCGCAGGATTCCCCTGACCAGTATGGCATGCCTAAACTCCTTGACTCTGAGACCGCTATGTGCTACATTTGTTGCAAACTATGCTGACCCTCCCCTCTTTGTAGATGCTTGGCTAGTGAGGAGGTTGACTGCCCTTGCCAGGATACTTGATATACGGCGTTTGATGCATTGTCATCTATTACATCGGTACTCTAGAAAGTCAGAAGCCTTCTGCATGGGAGAATGGGACTAGCAAGAAGCTTTCTTTAGGCATTTATTAGAGACTCCTTAGAAGTTATCATGCCTAAAGTGGAAAAGAATGCTTTGCTTACTACTTAGAACTTTTTAATACTGACAAATCAAAACCTAGGGAAAAGTCATAACTTACGCTAACTAGACTAAACAAAATAACACAGGTAATATGTGAGGTGTAGAAAAATTTTAAAATAGAGATTTAAAAAAATCTCTAATAATCCAACCACCTAGAGATCACCATTGATTAACACTTCAGGGTATATTATTATAAAATTTTGAGACCATGTTTTTAAAGACTGTCTTTAGTAATTGATCAAAGCCTTTTGAAGGAGATTTTACACTTTAATTTTTAGGGTTCCAAACCAAAAGTGGCAACTACCATGGCATATGTGTACATGTGAGCGTGTAGATGCATGTGTGCTGGTGGCATTTTGTAGCCAGCTCTTTCCCAGAGTCCCTTTTTCTTTTAGCCAGTGGATTCTGTCTAGGAAAAACATTAACTGCAGCTTAGTAGACTAGTTAGAAGACTGAGAGGAAACAGGTAGGAAAGCCAGAGAAGATTCACATTCAGAGCTTTTTGGAAACAAACTTTAGCATACATTTTACCCAACAGGAATTAGCCAGGCATTTTATTTTTTAAAAAGGAAAGAAAAGGAGATTTTAGCAGCTCTTTGTTGTTACCCCACTCTGTATTTAGAATAGTGATTTTCCAGCTATGTTCCTCACAGCCCTAGGATTTACAAGGATAAAGGAAGAGGAGGAGGTGTGGAGATTTGGACATGAGCATATGGGACTTCCATAGCTCGTATTTGAAAATTGCTGGTTAGAAGAGCCTGCTAAGCTGAGTTTTGAACTTGACAGCACTCTAGTATGTTGATTGGGCAGCACAGGCTTGTATATGATAGCCAAAATCTGAAGACCATTTATTTGTCATTCTAAGGCTTTTCATCTCCCTATGAGAGTAATCACTGGTGGACTTTGGCTGACTGCCCCTGGGATCTGCTGTGAACCTCAGCAGCCCAGTGTTTATGTGTAAATGAATACAAGTGTTGTTACTGCATTTCTCATCATCATCAGATAGTTTCATATTCACCTTCTGTGATTTCTGTAATTGTTCTGTGATTTCAGAGGTACCTGTTAAATTAACTATTATGAATTAGAATACAACATTTTAAAATTGGTGGTTTCTTGTAAGGTGAATTTTAAGACGAATATACATTAGGATCAGTACAGAAGGCTTTAAACCTCAGCAAAGCTAGCAGACAGTAAAAATAACTCACAATTTACTTATATCTGTAAGTTGGTGATAGTTAAGAGATGGATACTTTTCTTAAATTTGAAAGATTAGATTATTTGTAGCAAACATAAGATACTGAGTTAAAGTTTTCTGTTGCTTCCAATGATCCCTCTGAAGCTTCTGTTTCATTTCTGGTCTAATTTGGTTCCTGTAATTGGGTTTGTTATTGTATAGGTTAGCACTTAGGAAAAGAAGTAAAGTTACATTTGTTTAGATGAGCCTGGATCCATCATTTTGTAGTCAGTGAGGTTGAAGATAGTAGTGTTTTCTGTTTAAGAGAGGATAGACACTTGTTAAATCTGGAAAATGTGGTTTTTTGTAGTGTGAGTTAGTGTCTTTATTATTTTGAACCTAAATATTTACTCTTAAAGATAATTTTAGGTCTCTTTACTGTATATAATTTTTCCATTTAGCTTTACCTCTTTATTTGTACTTAAGTTTTGCTTCTGCTAACTGACTCATTTCATTATTATGCTGAGAGAACTGCATAATACAGGGTCTTGGTATCCCTATAACTTGTCTGTAATCCGTCTTAGTGCAGCTATCTAGTAAAGAGTAACTTTTTTGTTGTTCTCAAATAACTGAAATGCCTGCGATTAAGCACAGCAAAGCATTTCAGAGGACAGCCAAAAGATAATAGAACTAGAGTGGGGGTAGGGAGTCGTTCATTTAAAGCCAAAATAAATTATTCTCATGTATTTCTTGGTAATGTTCTTTCTGACTTAACAGGAAGGAAGGAAAGAAAACATGATCTAATTTAATTGGCACACTTGGTCTGACCTTAGGAGAGCGCATAGTATGTTATTATGTTGGCAATGTGTGTTTACCTCAGCAGAGCCTTCTTGTCTGTCATCCTAGTGGACATTGGCTGGCACATCTGAGGCAGGACCTCTTTTTGTGCCCTCTTGGGAGACATGACAACCTTAAGAAGCATTGCTGGGATTTTGTTTCTGTAGATAACATTGTTAACAGTTTGTTGCTATTCTCTTTGGGATTCCTGACTATTAAGATGGATGTTTCTGAAAAAGTGGTGTTGATAATACATGTTGGAGATAAACGGAGCAAAGATACCTGGGCAAGCTGCCCTTCCCCTCTGCCCAGCCCTGGCTTTGGTTCTCCCCATTGGTCATGTTCATGGCCCTCTTGCTCAGAAACTGTTTTGTAACAGATAAACTATTTCGCAAAATGGACAGAAGGTTTTGTCTGACCAGGAGAGATATAAAAGGAGAAATTAGTTTTTGCCTTACTGTACCAGTTGGATAACTTCAAGTTGATGAATTCTAGTATTCATTGTCAGTTATACTGAAAATTGGATGCATATCTAACACATAACACCAACATGGGTTTCTTTTCTCTCCTGCTCGTTAAAATACTTGACTATGCATTTTGTAGCTTGTTAATGGATCATATCAGAAATGGATTTCACAGTTAGATGAGGAACAGACTTTGGGATTTGATATATTATCTTTCATTTTGAAAAGTTGACAAAAATATTTTGTAAAATAAGAATTTAAAATCTAGAAAATCATCTTTGATTCCTCTCATTCTTAGAAATTCATCTGAGAAGAGCCTAATCTTTAAGCCACAGTAACCTGCAGATCCCCTAGCTAGTAAATGTTAGAGCCAGAATTATAACCCAGATGGTCCTGCAGCAGAGCCAGTTTTCTTAACCACTAAACTGTGCTTTCTCTCAACTTCTCTGTTCTAGTGGCGTGTTGTCTACTCATGAAATAACAGGTCAATTCATGGTCATTGGTTAGCAGAAACAGTGAATGAGTAGATAGAAAACTGTATAAAGGACCTGGAGATGTGTAAATGTCTGGCGTTGGGAGGAAAGGCGCGTCATTTTTGGCTGGGAATTTGAGTACAGAGTGGAGAATGGGGCATTTTGTGAAGGTTTATGTCCTGTGAGGGTTTGTGTCCCATGTTAGCACGTTGTGACTTTAGCAAATAAGAAACTGCATCCACTCAAAATTTTCCTGAATTTTGTCCATGCTGCTTTTTGATAAGGTTATTTAGTTCTTAACTTTTTATCTTGGACAATTTTAAACATATGTAAAGTAAACAGAATTGTGTTAAGGGGCTCGGCATATGCCTGTCACCCAGCATCAGTAGTTACCAATGGCATTTTGTCATGCAAATAACAATGTATTTGATAGTCAGTCAAGCAGTTCCTAGGTGGTCTTTCTAATGAACCAGCCTTAAGATGAAACTTTACTTCTTTGTGATTGATTCACTTAGTTATGAGATTGTGTTCCATTTCTAGAGCCTGACACAGCAGAGCTCTGAATGTGGAATTATCATAAGATAGTTCTTAAGTCTTATTTGGTCTAGTTGCTCAATATGATAAGTAACAACTTTTAAGTAAAGATACGGGGGGATATTATCTAATTCTGCAACGTTCACTGAAGGAAAATACTTACGTTTTAAAAATTTTGTCTCTCCTGGTTTTCATTTTGAACCAAGGTTGAGTTTTCCATTTTTCACATTGCTTTTGTTCCTTTCAGATACATGAACATTTGAAATTGTTTCTAATTCACTATCTTTTCTTACAAATGAGCCTCTCTGTTCCTGATTTCTTTCATTTTAGTAAAATTTCCAGACTTCCTTCTAGAAAGGAGCCCTCTTAATGATTTCAGTTAAAGAGACTTTGGCATGTTAGAGATTAGAAAGAAACATGTGACCAGTTCAGATTATATCTAGATTTCTGCTGCTTTCTAAAAACCAATGTTATGACCTATAATTGTCTCACCAGCCAAACTGCCACATGTTATTTTAGAGATGGCATGTTCAAAGCTAGGCACAAAACTGAACACATTATTTATATAATACTATGTTGTAGAACCAGGTGAGTTGTGGAGAGACAGTTACTAATAATTAATCCCGATTTTAGATGCTGGGCAGTAATTGAACTCCTTGCAGTGTCACATTTCTGTATCAGTAACATGGACAATTATTTTGTTTCTTTTTATTTATTTATTTATTTATTTAAGACAAAGTCTCGCTCTTTCGCCAGGCTGCAGTGCAGTGGCACGATCTCGGCTTGCTGCAACCTCCACCTCCCGGGTTCAAGTGATTCTTCAGCCTCAGCCTCCTCCACGCCTGGCTAATTTTTGTATTTTTAGTATTGGCTAGGCTGGTCTTAAACTCCCGACCTTGTGACCCACCCACCTCGGCCTCCCAAAATGCTAGGATTACAGGAATGAGCCACCATGCCCGGCCTACTTTGTTTCTTTATAGCTCCTACAGTTTGTATGGAGCCATCAAATGAAATAATGTATGCAAGCATTTTTCCAACTGTATACTGTTCTATAAATC